AGTACCAAGACAAAATCCTTGTGTATGTATTTTATTTCATAAATTTATTGGAATATTATAAACATTTCGGTGTAAGTGACAATATAATGCATAGCTTGGTTTGCATCTAAGCAGAAAAGAAAAAAAGAAGAAGAAAAAAATGGAACAAATTACGCCATCGAAGCGTTTATCAAAAGAGATTTGCTACGGACGTGCCAGTTTCCTTTACGATTAGGGTTGAAAAGCAATTACGTTTCTGAGTTTATACTGCCATCTACAGGAAAATAACAGATTTTCTTCAATTTGAACGTTTGGAGTGGGGATCAGTGAAGCGTTTAACCGAACGTTGCGTGTTTTAACTGCCATCTACCGGAAACACGACGGTACTGTCCGCGTGCACGCGAAAGGGGGTAGTCTTTTGCCGGGGGGTCGGAATTAGGCACAACAATAGTTTTTCAAGATGGTGGATCTACATGGAAGCCTCCGTGGACTTACCCGTCCCGACCGTATAAAGATAATACATTTTTCGTTTACAAGGATAAGTCAGATAATTAGCAGAGGTATTTGTACACCACTGAGGACATATTTGTGAATAAAAATATTGATTTTCAATAATAAATTACATAAAAAGGTACACATTGTCCCTTTAAGGGGGCAAATATTGTCCCTTACTGAAAAAGGTTTGACTTTAAATGGATATATAAAAAAAAAAAAAAAGGCTCATTTTACCACTCCCCCAGAGTTAAACAGTTGGGTTTTACCGTTTTCGAATCCATTCAGCCGATTTTCTGATATTTAGAAGGATATTAGTAACCATACAGTTTCTGGTCTCATTTACTTCCATAGTATATTTTTTCCTACTATGGAAGTCAATGAGTGCTTCCTAATATGGAAAATCACTTCCTGCCCTCTATCTGCGTTTCGGCATCAGAGGTGAAAAAGGCGGACTGGCGGAACCTTCCCCTTCCCCACAGTCATGTACCTATATGATGTCTATGCATGTACCCCTGGGCAAAAAAAAAAAAAAAAAAAAAATCGCAGACAGGAATGTCCCATATAGGGGCGTCGGGGGCGGGGTTTGTTGTATTATGCGCTTTGCTAGGAATATACCTACAATCAGGCTCCAATAACTCCTGTTGTCTGAAAAGAGTTTCGTGTTCTTCTCCATCTGAATCACAATGCAGAACTCATGTAAATGTAAGTCATTTTATTTATTTAAGAAAACTTTTCACAAAAATGCTTTATTTCAATAAATGTATAGATAATCGATGCTCAGTAATAATGAGATTGAGTTTTGAATGGATGAACAATGTTACTCGCACGAAAACCAAACCCCTAAACATTTTAATGTACTTTTTAATTATTACAAATAAAACTATTGTCCAGAGTTGATACACATATCCTAGAATTGTTGTTAACATTTTACAATAAGCTTTCAGTTGATGCATTAAAATCAACGGACTAACATGATCTTAGTTAAGGGTCGTTTCAAAATCTAGCTGACTAATTCAGAAATTAACATTTTCTATGTTTATTAACAAAGATTAACAAGGATAAAAGGTGGGGTATGGAGAATTTTTCAAAAAATATTTTTCTCAAATTTGTTGAAACTGTCTATATATAGCTACCAATATATATTTTAATTAAGTACTCTGAGAAAGAAAGTATAAAAATCGAGTGTCTGTAGTCCTCTCAGGGCTGCAATAAACACTGCTACTGTTCACAAACTATACGGTTGGATTGTTGTCTTTTTGGATGTCATGTTATTGTTTGTATGTTTGTATAATGTCTAATAAAAAAAAATTAAAAATTAAAAAAACAAACTATACGGTCACGTGACAATGTATTTCTTTTTTAGCTGAAGTTCAGGAAGTAGTGCAGCTGTGCATAAAGCCAATTGTAATACAGTCTCACCCCTACAGAGGACGCTACAGTGTAAAACAAATGAGTCAGTGCCTTTTTAGCGCACCACAACAGACCAAACAGTGAGTTAAAGAGAAAAGGACTCAATGTCTATATATGTCAATATATATATATATATATAATTATGGAGGTATTTTGCGAAAAATAGGCATACATTTGTGTATGTATAAATTTCAAATAATTTTTTTCTTAATTAACAAACCAAATGTAAGTTTTCCTATGATAGTAGCCTATCAGTATTGCAGATATTCTTTGTTGCGTCCAAATTACACTGCATAAATGCATAAATGATAAAACATATCAGTCCATCGTTTTTATACCACCTTCTTCGTTATCTTTAACCGTATCAATTAAATTACTTCATTTTTATAAAAACAAAATTTAACTTGTTTAAGTGGTGTGTATCTGTCCCTGCCCAGACTCTTGCGGCTGGTGTGTGTGTCCATCAGTGTCCTGCTGTCTGTCTGCTCTCTGGAAGATCATGACGACTTCTGTTTGTTCCTCTGAGGGTATGATTATTCTTTATTAATTATATTAACACACTCGCACTCAAAACATGAGTTTAGAGTCATTTGTTTCTGAATGAAGATCTGCACTGAAATAATAGAGTGTGTTTAAGTTGATGTTCATCTTTTGTAGAAATGGATAATGTTCCTCTCTCTGTAGAGGAGACCCGAGCAGAAGCGGCCCAGAGTTCAGTGCGGCCATGTTCACTCACACACCAGAAACAGTGTGTGTGCATGATCATGATGGATGGATGGATGGATGGAAGTTAAAGCTTAAGATGTTTTATATAGCCTAGTGGTGGGCAGATCGAGGCTTCTTGAAACTGAAACAGTTTTTTTTATTCTTGTGTTGAGTTTTTAACATCTGTCTGACATCTACATGAGTTTTTATTTGTTTTGTTTTTTTACCTCATTCATTGTAGAATAAGGTTATTTTGGTCATGGAAAAATGTATATTAATAAAAGAAATCAAGCCTCAATGTACCACATTTGTTACAGATTTTTATTAAAAAACATGAATTGCTTTGCTGTCAAAGACTAGCCTACTTTTTTTTTTTACATAGGCCTACATATCATTTTTCCAGGCTATGTAAAAAAAAACTCTTTAAGGGACACTTGTTGGTGGCATGCACAGACATTTTTTATTCAAAATAGGAAAAGGTCTGTGTCTGTCTATCTGTCTATAATTCTGTCTCATTCTATCTATCTGTCTCTCTCCCCCCCTAAACCCAAAACCCAGTGGCCTATGTTGAGACAGATGTGCGATTGTGTGGTCTGTTTCAGACCTTGTTAATCAAACCAGAACAAATATTATATAGACACATGATATTCCATCCTATTAGATCCTTAGTTAATCGCATTTGATCGATTTTACTTTCAATAAAAACAGAAAATGAATCGAAGCAATGAATCATTTTGTGAAGCAATTGGTTCAATTGATTCGAAGCTTAGTTTCTCCCTTCACTACTCGACACTGAAGCGAAAATAAACACAGGGAAGGTGTGAGCCCTCACTTCAGAGAAGGTGGAGCCTACTACGACCCCCCCCCCCCCCTAAATAGCTATTTGCGATAGAAAAGGGCTGCGTTTCCCAAAAGCATGGATAGTTAAGTTAACCGTAGAGAGTGGCTGTTGTTCTACGATTAAATAGACTTTATGATGCTTTTAGGGAACACAGCCCAGGCCGTTTGTGACGCACTTTTATAGGTAAGATAAGACGTTTAAAGAACACATTTGTAGGCTATAATCGGAGGACTACTGAATCGAATTAACTTTAAATTTAAAATTTAAATTCTAGACGTTATCAGATAAGATTGTACTTTAGATAGCTTGTTTTTGGATAAAGTATAGGCTAACTAACACATAAACCACAAACAGCCTAATTGTAAAAAGTTCTTCTATTAATCCTGTTTTATTCAACGTGTAGACTAAATAGAGAAAATGCCAAAACGGGCTAAATTTAACATTGAGGCGTGTGATATGAGAATAATTTTTAGTCGTTTATAAATAAATGTGCAATAAATAAATCTAGGAAGAAATTTAGAGTAACTTGTGGGGTGGAGTTTATGCATTGTGGTTCTGTTGTACTATAGTTTGAATGTTTTTGGATTGATGTAAAAGAGAATTTCACAAGTGAGTTTTCTTTTTATAATAAAATCCTGCTTAAAAAAACAAGTTAAAAAAGGCAGGCAGTTAAAAAAGATAGTAGGCTAAAATTAAAGGGGGGACTCGTAGGGCCTACTAAATACCAAAATTAATATATACTAAGCATACTGTATATAATATTTTTCAGTTTTGTCTCGGGGATTCCGTGGATCCTGAAGACTCCACTGTAACCTCATCTATGGATTTTTCAAGACTTTTTTTTCTTTTTCTTTTAAATAAACCTTTTATAAACATTAAACTTTCCATTGTTTGTCTTTGTGGGAAAAAGTGCGGATCCACCTAATTGGTATAGCGCATAATGTTTTGTTATATTTAGATTGCTCCTGCTGACTTGAGCCACGATTATTTTCAGTGGGGAAACCAGGCTACATTCTGCTTTCTCTGAGCATATGGATCCTCAACGCAGGACTGTGGACACTACAAGAACAACATGGCGGAAAGAACAGAAAAAAAAATGCTTGACATGCTGTTGGTTGGAAATGAATCCATTTGAGCTATATCATGTATTAATGTATATAGTATAAGTGCAAGGAATACATAAGATGAATTACATTTAATTTGTTTGCAGTTGATTAAGATGTCGTCTCCTGGCTTTGTGAAAATAATGAACATGACATGATTAAGTTTAAAAACTAAAAAGAAAATTAACGTTAGCCTGAAATATGTTAGCAAGACATGCAATGCTGACTGACACATCGTCAAATAATAGCAGATCTTTTATCTTTTAAAAATAACTGCAGTAAACTCCATGAGCAGCCATTTGTGGTGAACACTTGTCTTTTCCTTTCGTCAACAACGGTCCATTCTCATAGGAGGAAACGGGGATGACGCAACTCTGACTACACCCTTAACATTCCTTTTTAGAGGTCCGTGACTCAAGTATTTTGTGTAACAGCACTGCGATTGGCAGGACAGGGACATTGGTTGGGGGGTGTACTGATATACTGTGTCGGTGACGTTTTTAGAAACAGAAACTCAGTCGAGAACCAAGCAGACAAACCTTGTCGAAAGCAGATATAAACTAAAATGTCTTGTTATCGTTTTTTCTTCGGAAACCTTCAATGTCGCAAGTGAGTATAGGCTATTATTTTTCCACCCAATAATATTTTACATTAAAAAAGCAGTTGATATTTCGATAGTAAAAATATTAACTGTTAAATTCTAAGTGTGGGTAAAGTTACACGTTGACGCAGACTATATCAAGGAACGCGTATGGACGACATTTGGGCTTATTCACTTTCGGTCGTGGACAGTATGGCGGATCATTTTCAGAGAGTTGCTCGCAACCAGTTGGGCGGCCCTTCTCTCTCAATGTGCATGACGAGCCCGATCTGTGGGCGGAGTTAGTGCCAAATTTCCACTGAGCGGATCGAGTCGCCAACTTCTGGTGTTTCGAACACCACTTCGAAACATTGAATCATTTTGTGAATCTTTTGTCAAAAGCTCCGCCTTTTTTCTTCTTCATTCAGTAATTGCGTCACGTCCTCCGCTCTCCGTTCACTGAGTGTCATCACAGTGTGTTTCATTACATGTGTAGGGCAGTAACACACTGCTGCAAATCTTGTAAATAGACAAACGCGACGGTTAGCATTTAGCATCTAACTAGATAGTCTTGTACGCGTTTTTAGTTTATCCTGATGCTTTTTTTTAAGATGAATATTATTATTTTTACGGTGAATTTGTTCTTTTTTTCGGGTATGTAGACTGTTTATTAAATGGGTTGGTGAAAAAAAAGTGCTGTAAGTGTCAGTATATTCCTAACGTTATTCTAATACCGTGGTTGTGATTTGCAGTTCTGCCTGTTGCCGGATCGAAGATCGAGGCGATCGACGGACAGAATGTGACAATATCCTTCGACATCCATGAAGTGGAGAAAGCAGATAAAGTGAAGATTATTTTTAAAGAAGACAAGAAGGAATATTCTGTAGTTATTGCTCAGCAGCCTTGGGTCTATGATGATCCTCCTCCAGCTGGAGTTACACTCAAAGTTGGAGAAGATCGTTTATCTGTAATCATTCAAGATGTGAACATCTCCAGATCAGGACTGTATATAGCACGAGTCTTCACTAGAGAGAAAGTGTCCGAGGTGAATGCCACACTTGTCGTCAACAGTGAGTATTTTATAATATGTCAAATCCAAATAAACAAGTGCTTTTTGCAAAAGCCATTGAAAACGATAAGTGATACGATTTAGGTAGGGCTGGCTGGGGGGAAATAGATTTGATTTAAAAATCGGGTTGGTAGGTCAAATCGATTAATATTTTCAAAAAAAGAAAAAGATTGTTAGATTTTGTTTCTCCCCCATTGCATTCCCTAAATCTTCCTTCCGGTAACCCGCACTTTCGTTCCCTAAACTCTGTCTGCACCCCGCCCTCCCTGAGGCATACACAAACAACATGGAGAACAGAAAATTAGTGATGTGACATATGAACCGAGGCCTCGGAGCTTGTGTCGAGAAAAAATGGGCGTGCCAGATGAAGCCGCGATTCGAGGCTTGTGTTGTTACCGTGAAAATCACGTGACTGATGACAAACGAGGCCTCGGTTTGTGTAAAAACGTCATCGGTTCGGTCTGCGGTTTGGCTCGCGCCACCCTGTGGCTGTTTCATGAGCAGAAGAAGCAGTTGTAGTAGCGTCAGAGTCAGAGAAATCTCATTATCGTTATTGTGTCATATATGTGCTAGGGCTGTATATTACTACACTGGTCTATATCAGGTTAGAATAGTTATTAATAATAATTAATATTTGTCATTATCAATTATAGTAACCATATTATAGTGTTGTTATATTAATTAGACAAGATTATTTCGATTGCTTTGGATTTTTGGTTCTGGACTGGACTAAACTGCTTTTTGATTTGGATGCCCTTTTGGATTTAAAAAAAAAAAAAAAATTTATGACATCTTCCTTTTTCATGGTAATGGAGCCAACAAGAAAAAGGAAATCCAACCCTGTCTGGGCTCAACAGAAGCATCAGCATCTTCATTTTTACCCGCTGACACACTGACGTCCTCTGTTCCTTGTGAAATGATATTTTTCCAAGGGTGGAGAGGTTTTTATCCACAGTTAAAAGAATTTATTTTCTCAAAAAAAAAAAAATCTGTAACCCTTTCCTTCATCCACTCCAAACTGTGCAGTGTTTACTGCAGTTTGCTTACTTTATTACACTCCCTCGAGTCACTCCACCATAAGCACTGCACTCAACACCTCACTCAACTCACTTTTTTTGTTCATACTGTCACTCCATTTAAAAAAAAAATAATAATAATTGTGTGTGTGACACTTACAGTCTATGGTGTGACAGTTGTCTCTGTACAAAATGCAGACAGAGAAAGATACACGTTTTAGTTAATATCCAGGCAATGGACAAAAGTTTGCACAGATCCCTTTATTATTGCAAATGAAAGGTTACAGAGACATTAACAGTGAGAAGAAGATAAATAAATAAAACAGAGCGGGAGGGGCGGGTCATGGGTTCAGAATGATTTAATTTGTCTGCTATTTCTTTGCACAGTAGCTGTCACTAGTGAGCAATGATGAATGAAGCTTCGAGTAATGAACCTTTGGGTGAAGCAATGGGCTGCGAGGTCTCAGTGGTTCAGGAAGCCTCATTTTGCCATCACTACAGAAAATGCCGTCTTGCTGGTCATAGAACAACAAATCTGTTTCCGCATTTGAAGCAAAGACCTGCAGCTGAGTGGGAGAAGTGTTGCCTTCTTCGAAAAGAAAACCACTCTAGTGATGTTAGTACCCCGTTTGTAAAGCAAACAACAAACAAAACTTTGGAAAGCCATAATGGAGGCAATTACCCTCTAATTTAATTAAATACAATACATAGGCTAAATATATATTTTAAAACTATATTTACAGTTTGCAGTTATTTTGTTTTAAAGGGATCATATATGTGTCCACAATCTATAGTGTCTTATTAACTCACTGTCATCCATTGTCTGCAACACATTTCTTCTCCCTCTTCATCGTTCTGCCATTTTCACCTGTGCTAAAGAAACTCAGTTATCCCAACCTGCAAGAATTCATTTCCGGGAGGTATATTTGATAACAGGATTGTGGGAGTGGGCGGGAGGGCTAACTTTCGCGTTCGCGAGGCACACTCGCAAAGACTCTCCCCCTGTACAGTGCACGCGCAGCGCGCTATGTATGTGCGCGCAGGAACTTCCGGGAGACTTGGGATGTCTGGAAACTCAAGTTCTTGTCCGTGCTCCTAACAATTTTGATTCTTTATGAGTATGGGATTTCTTTTAGGGAAGAAAACCGCCCAGGTGTAGATTTAGGTGATGTGAAGAATCCGATACACACAATTTGATCAGCATTAACTCCTCATGATTATAAAATAAGGGAAACTTAATAATTAGTTTAAAGCTGTGCAAACACACCTCAGAGAAAGAACAAAAGCTTGTCTGATAATTTGGCAGATGGAAACTAAAGTAGGATTGAACAATGTTTAAGGTGGTACTTGGGTAAAGGTAATTTGATTTGAGTGTATATATCTCTAATTAATTCTGTTTGTGTTGTATCTTCCAGAAGCTCCAGTTTCCTCCACTACATCTCCTCCACACTCCTCCAGCCCAACACCTCCTCGCTCCTCTGACCTACAGTGGCTTTATGCTTTAATTCCAGTCGTCATCTTTATCTTGTGCGTTTGCTTCTGGAAACACGAGATGGTAAGTGTTACTTAAAGTTATGCTTAATAGTAGGGCTGTAGTCAACCAAAGAAATCCTTAGTCGACCAAAGTCTTGTCCTGCGCAACGATCAGTCGACAAAAAAAGACGCAATGTTTTGATTGAACATTTTCAAAACAATTGTCATAGAGAATTTATAAAACAACAACTAAAAAACATAAAAATACATACAACTATAATAATAATACAATTCTTTGAAAATTAAGTGATTTCTTTTAACAGTGAGGAGCTCTGTCTTAGGTCTATAGTGACAGTCACAATTGCGCACCTGACGCCTAACACCACATGCTACAAAAAATATAACCGCTATCTGCCACATAATGAAAAATCCTAACAAAAGCTCTCGTTTATACAGGCTGTATATTCTTCTTTCTTTCAAAGCTATGGGTTAACTTTTGTCCAGCCGATCTAGGCGTTTTAAAACACACAAAAAACCCAAATAGCCTTATAAACCGTCAAGTGTACAAATAAAAACAAAAACATAAGAAAACACAATCAACAGTCAGCATGAGAAAGCTGTTTAAAGGGCCTGCTCACATATCGCGTCTTTTGCTTGCACTCAAGTTCGTGGTTTCATTTCCATTATGATCTCATAATGGGAGCAACGCGCTTTTTTCTGTTCTTTTTCTTTTTTTTTTCAAATGCGTCCACGCCACATCGAGATAAAAAGTGCACTGTAGGTCACGTGACAAGAACCAATGGGAGCGCCACTGCCCTATCGCTTTCTATGCGATTTTAGGTGCTATATGTGAATGCCGCCTAAAGGCTACTTATTATCTCGCTTGGCGCTTTTAGGTGATAGGCCATGTTGGTCGTTGAGCTATGCTAAGTTAGCTTTAGGCCGCATAGCTTGCACTCCAAAGTGTTGTCGTCTTTTTTTGTAAAATGCAGCCAGACAAAAGATTTCGATTTCTGGGACATTTTGTCGACTAAAGCCAAAACAAGAAGCATTCTAACTAAATGATACAGCAAAACTACCAATATCCCTTACTGAGCGCGGAGCAGCAGCGCAGCCAGCCACCGGTGCGGTTCCCGAGTGTGTGGTGCGCTAAACTGTGGCATTGTTACAAAATAGCCTAAATTAAAGCTCATGACTTAAACCCAGTCACTTTATTTGGCGTTCATGTAAACGCTACGTTTGGATTCATCTATTGGAATAAATGAATTCTGTTTGAAACAAAAGGTGTCCCTGTAAACGTTGCTGTTGTCACCAAAAATAGGCTTTTAATGGTCACTGTGTTAATTACTGTTCGTCGACGTATTCGGCTCTGAGTGAAAAGTGAATCTCTAATTAAAACTCTAGTATATTCATGTGTGATTGAGAATGATTTATAAACCAGTTTAAAATAGCGAATGTGTTAAGTAGTTATTTGCTTGTTTTTTAATTTTTAAAATTGTCAAAGAATGTGGTTTAAATGTATTCGCTTGAAATGCTTAAATTCAGCTTTGACTTTGGCAACATGTTATCTGATGTTTGGTTTACATGTCATCTTGTACTTGTGTTTTTCATTAAGCCCAGTTTTCTGTTGTTTGATTTACAGATCCCGTGTTTTAAAAGAAAGAAAGAATTGGGATCCAGTTCCAGTGTGTCCGTCTCCATGAACGGTGGAGGAGAAACTGCTGCAGCTCTTCTCACGGTTACCTGAGTGTCTTAAAACATGAAATAACATTACAATCACTTCAGCCTTGTTCAAAATGTCAGGCTAAATCAGATTTTGTGCATATCTGATCTATTTGGTAAATGTAAACTACAATAAAAATGTTACGTATGGCTCCTTTAAACATAAACCCCTGGTTTCACAGACCAGACTAAAATACATGTTTGAGCTTTTACCTGAGAGCAACTCGCACTGACATTTCTAAAAACATGTCTGTGTCATGTCTTGTTGTCTCGAGATACTCGCCAGTAATGTTTTATCTAAGACTCGTTTATAAAAGCTAGTCCTTGAACTAAGGGTTAATCCTGACTTAATCGGAACTCTGTCTGTGAAACCGAGCACAAATCTCTTCGTCCAGCATTATGGAAAGACAACATCTGTGTGTAAAACTCCTCAATGATACTGGTGTTGTTTTATAGACACACACACTAATGCAGGTCTTCCAGAAAATGAAAGACAAACAATCATTTAGATCAGATTCTAATCACAGATGATCTGATTCGGATTGAGCATGAATGTAGTTTTAGATGCCAATGAAGTGCCAATTTATCAGATGCAGTTATTATTTCACTGTGGTGTTTGTGTTAAAGTACACAGATGAAGTATGCGCACAGATGTGAAATGAAGCGAACAGACAGACAATGTTTTACATCATCAGCTGGAAGAACGTCATTAAAAATAAAGTTTATCCATGAAGTCCTATAGGAATCCAGAGGAAGCTTATGCAGCGACTGTCTTCTTCCACAACCAGGCACTGCACAATATTTTGTATTGCTCGGTAGCTCGATCTGGTTTGTCATTACGAGGTAGGCATCTATGTTATTTAGCTATGCGTATTTGCTGAGCCTGGTGTCAATTAAAACTTTTAATGGACTAATAGGCACGTTTTCAAATCTGAAACTTACAGGATATTCTTATAATATGATGACCTCTTAGATGTCAAAAGCTCAAGGAAAATTTGATTTCTCATTTCATCACCCCTTTAATATTTTCATATATATATATATATATATATATATTTATATATATTACATTTTAGTCAATGTCAGTAGTGGGGCATATTTCTTACTGCATTAAATAAATGTGCTATTGTACCTGTAAAAACTGCTGTTTATTAAAGTTTATGTTTTTTTTTTCTATTATATTTTTGCTATTGTTTGTTATTTGCTTTTTTGTTCCTATTTTAAATGTCTAAAATAAAATTGCTTGGCTTGCTTTAATACCGAAGTGTGTGTGTAATGATTGCAGTCGGCTTTAATGGACTCCAGAACAGAAACGGCCGTTCGCTGTCATTATAAAGCTGAAGAACCAGGACATATTTAATAAAACTGATTGTAATCAAAGCATTAGTCTCAGCTTTATGAAAGTTAGAGGAGTTGACTTCTAATGATGGGACAAGTTAGCTATTAGAAAGCTAATGTTAGCTATGTGTGTTAGCAAGCTGTGGCTCGGGCTAATTGCTATTCATCCACTTTGATATTTACTCCTTAATATGAACTATTTGATAAAACACTCATTCTTCCTGCTGATGCGTCATGTCTTATTGCCCGATCTACTTTTGCCTTTACGTTTGAGTAGTTTATAAAACTTATTTCTGTAAACCCTGTCACACAGTGTGTGTGTTAATATAAGATTATGTTTGAATGTTATGAACACGTCTGTTTTTCATGTTTTGACCTCTGATGTTTTTGGCTTCTCCCTAGGATTTGAAAGTAAAAAACATGTACTTTAATATTTCCTAGCATTGGGAAGTCTGAATCCTAAAGGTTCACATGATTCTGTACTCAAGGATACCTCATGTATAAAAAATATAACTATATTTATTAGCCTATATTATATTAATTGTCGTATTTTAGCAGAAAATGTTACATAGATGCAAAAATAGTGTTGGCTGTTTAAAGTATGTGAAAATGGACTTCCAAATGTGTAAAATATTGTTTTCTTCAATCATAAGCCTATATGTAATTTGCCAATATTTGTCAACAAATGATTCATATTCCCTATAGCTCCACAGTCATAGGTTGATTAATCTGATGTGTGTTTCTTGTGTATTGCTCTTATCCCCTTCTCTCTCTTATCCTATTGTATTAATTAGACCATCCACAGCATGTATGGTATTTTTTATGTAATTTATAATTAATTGTTATTAAATTCACAAACAGGTGAATTTAACAACTATCGAGGTGTTCTTCAGACAGGGTATGCAGGGTTTAGATAATTCCTCTTTTCGAGAAAACCTCTCCAGCCTTGGAAAAGATCCTTTCACAGGGAGCAGAGGATGCAGGAGAACATAAAAATGCCAGTGCCCGCTGGTATAAATGAGGATACTGATGCTTCTGTTGAGCCCAGATGGTGAGGATCTCCTCTTTCTTGCTGGATCCATAACCAGTAAAAAGGAAGAGTCGCAAAAAGCAAACACATCCAAAACGAAAAGCAGTCTAGTCCAGATCCAAAAATCCAAAGCAATCCAAATAATCTTATCTGATTAATATAACCAGACTATAATATAACTACTCTAATTTTTGATAACAATATAAGTATTCTAACTTGATGTAATGTAATACAGCCCTAAGACATAACTGACACAACATGCCAATGCCAATGACATTTCTCTGACTCTGACACAGCAGCTGCTGCTATTTCATATTATGTAGGCTATATATAGTAGATATCTGTAACTTGTTTTGACACACAGAGGTAGCCTGGCATGCCAGACCTGCATCAAGATGTTAGTAATAATTAGTTAATATAGTATAGTAATAATTGTTAATAATTTTTTGCTGCCGATATGGGTGCGTCTAGATTTCTAGGCTAACACAGCAATAATATCTAACACAGAGGCAGAGCAACCATAAAAGCTGTGTGATGTCATTTAAATGATCTCCGCCGCCCTAGGCTTTTAAACCCCGTTCACTCCAAGTACACCTACCCCGATCTGCAGGCTGCAGCCAGGTGCTTCTCGTTCACACCGCCAGCGACACGCAGCGACAAAGCGACAAGATCCCATTCATTTCAATGGAGCGCTGGCGACATCCGGCGACACGAGCGACAGTTGGCGACAGAATATGGGCGTGTCAAGCGACAAAAGTTGAGAATTTTTAACTTTTTGCAAATGAGACGCGATTTTCGCGAGCATTTCACAAGATGTAAACAACACTGGTCCAGAAGCACTTCCTGTTTCAGTTTTTTAACACTACATAAAAGCTGGGATAAAATACAACCAACAGAACATTTAAAACTGAATCAAAAAGTTAAACAAACATCTTTAAGATGTTTTCTTTACATGTGAAATAAAGAAAACAGTTAAACTGAAACAGGAAGTGTTTTCTGGACCAGTGGAGCTCACGTCACCGTCTCGAGGGCAGGCAAGAAAGACAGAAATAAAGAGTTTGAGGACGATTTCACTGTTTTATATGATTTGACTGTAACTACATACATGGATAATAAAATGATGCATGAAAAAGAAACTGTCGACAGTCTCAGTGAGTTTAATTCATACATTTAACGTTATTGTTCGATTGTTGTAATTTTATGATGCACGTTTAGCACTGCTGCAGTTCATTTTACAATTTTAGCCTTAAAAGTCATTTATTCCCAGTCAAATTAAAATTATATATCACTTGTGATGGTCTTTTGTATAGATATGGCCAGACGTGCAGTCTACCAAGAACATCAGAGCCGCAGCACTACGAACGCCCACAAGCGACATCACAGTACAGACTCTACAGAGCCTAGCGACACACAAATCGAGAAGGAGGTCTCTGCAGAACAACAAGGGGCGTGCCTCAGTTTGGGGGCGTTTTACAACCGGGTAGGCGTTTACAACCTCTCTGCCTGGTTCGCTAAAACTTGAGTGGGCCTCGCGATTCCCTGAGAAGGAGGTCTCTGCAGAACAACAAGGGGCGTGCCTCAATTGACAAAAGGGACTTTAAGCAACAGCCTCTGGTGGAACGGCAACGGCATTCTGGCAACGGGTGAACAGCTGATTTGCCGTAGTCGTTACTACGTGACAGATTAAGACAGTTAATGTTATGTTTTAGGTTATGTGGCATTGAAATCGTTTCTGTATATCATTAAGTGCTAAAATCAACCCTTCTCTTTCTTTTTAAAATCACTTTCTTTTTGTATTTTGTCTGATGATTAAATTATTCCCTATGCCGTCCTCTTTACTGTTGCTTAGTGATTTTTGCGCTCTTTAGCTACGGCAGTTAACTGTTTATTTCCGGCTGCCGTCGCCGTTCTATCAGCAGCTGTTGCGTCCCTAAAATCGCTGGCGGGGGCGGCGGAGACCTCCTATATAAAGCGAGAAGTGCTGCACCAACAACACACTTCACAGGACTCACCGCTGCCGCTGCGCTGTTTATTCTGGATCATACCTTGGAGATTTTCCACAGTTTTGTTAAATATGAAGTTCATTTCCACTGTCTTCGTGTTTTTTCATTTAGTGTTCTTGGTTTCAGGTAGGCAGGGAGTGGACGAATGCTTGTTTTTATTTAACTGTAAAATGAATGTGAATGAATGTCAGTTCATCGCTCGTTATTCTAAAGCATTAATTGTCATCCTAAACACTTTCTTTCTGTTTAACAGTCGATTTTTCACTTGCTGAAGGGTCGAAGATCGAGGCGAACCCTGGAGAAAACGTCACACTGGCATTCCCGATGGATAAAGCGGAGGAAGCCGACAGATTGAGGATCATTTTTAAAGAAGAAACTACGAAAAACATGTCATTGGTCGCACAGAAGTGTGCTCCTCATGAAGGATGTGATAATGTGGACACACCTGGAGTCTCACTGATATTTGAGAAAGGATGTTTGTCTGTAATCATTCAGAAAGTGGACATCTCCAGATCTGGACTCTATAAAGCAGAAGCTTGCTTCGGAAAGGACGTGTTTGAGGTTATCGCCACACTTGCTGTCCACAGTGAGTATTGTTATTATCTATAATCTCTGTTTGCATGTAATGTGTACTAGTAGATGAATACTCTCAAAATTTGGAAACATTATTTTTAATGTTGTTGAAAGAAATGTTCTTCACTCTCAGAAAAAAAGGTACAAAAGCTGTCACTGGGGCGGTACCTTTTCTAAAGGTACACTTTTGTGTAACACTGTTCAAGCATGTGTTTGTTTGATCACAAATACAGAAAAAACAATAGCCTAATATTTTGAAATATTATTACAATTTAAAATAATGTTTTTAGAAATAATCATTCAGAAATCACTCTAATATGAGGATTTATTATCAATATTGGAAATGTGCTACTTTATATATATATATATATATATATATATATATATACCTGTGATAGTGCTTTTTGATGAATAAAGAGTAAATAAAACAGCATTTTATTTTAACCCCTTAGCTGTCACCCTCTTTTTGAGAATGGGGGTTTAAATACACTATTCAAACTTAAATGGTTGTAATTTAAGAACGCTGTGGAATATATACCCAAGTTTGGTCTTGTTTTTAAAGAAAACACTCAGCAGAATATTGCTGAAGTGAAAACACTTCAAAAAATGAAAGTATGAAAAAGTTATGGAAGTTTAAATTGACAGTAAATCAAATATACTGTACTATATATACATTTTATTTTATATAAAATATATATTTTAGAAACATTTTTTACTCTAAAATTACTATAAAATCAAAGCCATAAATCTTATCAAGTTATGTACCAAATTTGAAGTTGATATCACAAAAATTAAAGTTTCCATGAGATTTTGTTTAGGCGTAGTACCAAAAATAGCCACCGGGTGCCATTGAATTTAGTTGTATACATTCTGCCTTAACAAATTAATACATTTCTGTCCAAATATCAATTCTGTCACAAAATTTTGAACCTTGAGACTCTGACCTTTCTGACAATATGTGTTTTGTCAAGATTAGAAAAGGTTTTGATCATAAATTATGAAATATAATGATGCCCAAAAGGGGAGGAGCCTGATAAAATAAGTATATATATATATATATATATATATATAAAAATCTAATACATCTAATATATAATTAGATGATTTGATGATTTGTAAAAGAAGAAAATTGCATAATTTCCGCAAACACACAGATCACTGATCGATTAAGAAAGAGTTAAAGAGTAAAAGATATTGTGAGAAATATGTGGTAATTTGGTTTTACTGTTTATGATTCTCTTATTCGTTGCTGTTTGTATTGTATCTTCCAGAAGCTCCAGTTTCCTCCTCTATATCTCCTCCACACTCCTCCTCCAGCCCAACTCCTGCCCACTCCTCTCAACCACACCGGCGTTATGCTTTAATAACTGCGGGCGCCATCTTCATCATCATCATCATCATCATCATCTGTATCAGCTGCTTCTGTAGACGGAGGAGGGCAAGTATTACTTACATTTATTCTTTTATTTATGGATTTGAGCATTACTGCAGTTCTAATAATCTGAGTCTATATTCACCAAAATCTTCAAAATCAAAATCTTTCGGCTAGAAGTTTATTAGCTCTTAAAAATGCTTCTGCTTTTACATCTCATACATTTTTCCTCTAATAGAGTAACTCAAACATTTGAACACTAAAAGCAGCAGCTGAACCCAGAACAGTTTAGATGTCGCCCTCAGGACTTCTGTATAAAGACTGACTCAAACGATCTGATCATCTGGAACTTCTTAAAAGTTTTAAATTTAAAAGTTTATCAAATGTACGCCTGATTTTTACTTAAAAAGGGGGGATACCTGGCTATTAACAGGGGTTCATTATTAATACACATTTATAATTGTGTAATGTTATGAAAATGTTTACATCGATTGCAAAAAAAAAAAAAGACTCGTATAGGACTAAACAGGCATTGCAAGTTACAGGCAGGCAAACTTTAGAAAAATTATGTTTATGGCACTCGAACTGTATGATCTCTGTGATTGTATTGATAGAAAAACATGAGATACATTTGTAGTTTTAACATAGATATTCCTCTTTAAAGATAAGAGTATTAGCTGAATGCAAAGTGACCCACATTTGGATCACATCAGTGCAATTGACCAATTTACTCATAAAGTAAATATCTCAATATCAGTGGGACTGAACCATCGAGGGCCTTTAAAATGAAGATACTAAAAGAAAAGTTTAAGAACCCAAATCTAAAAGTATATTAAGAAATCTGTATTATGTCTTGAGTTACAGGCGTGAAACACACAAGAAGTGCCCTTGCCATTTCTGAACCGTCACTGTTGGCATAAAATGAAACGCAGATTGCTAAAGTCAACATATTTAACTAATAGACTTATCAGTCTCTGTGTAAAAATAAAATAGTGATACTGGCATTAACGTCATTTCAACCTCCTGTAAATCGGCTCCAATTCTCAGGTGAAAATCGTCATTTTAACCCTCTCGACAAAACAGATTAGGCAGTAAATTTACATTTGTTGTGACATTTAATATTTTGGCTGTCATCACTATTTATGTTTGTCTTTCTACAGAAAAAATATTAACATTGAATTTGAGTGGGGGAAATTTCTGAAATATGTTTGATTTGACAGAGAAAAATTTGTTTTTTCTTTTACTCTTAGAAAAGTGATTGTCTCCCATGAATCAAAAATCAATAATGCTGGAAACAATACGTTTTGTCAACTTCGATTTTTGACTTAGCCTATATAATTTTTAACAATATGTTTAATTAATAAGTTCGTGAAAGGTTTTTGAGAAATACTTCAGAATCAAGGATATCTGCGATCATGTCAGGGTCACTGAACTTCTGCACAGATAATAACTGTGGTGAGTGTATTTATTCAGTGTGTGTGTGTGTGTGTAGGTTGTTGTCGTGAACGTGAAGATGTTGAATGAGTCTCCAGGTATGACGCTCTTCACTATTTGCATCACATGACTTTTCTCATAAAGTAAGATATTTGACTTTGCCATGTTGTGAGTCACTAAAGACAGTTTTCTGTTTTCTTTACAGATCCAGTGTCTCCACAAAAAGAATGGGAAAGTCTAGCATGAACGGTTGTGGAGAAACGTCTTCTTAAAACACTTCTTCAAACTATCAGTCCAACATTTTTTAATCAGTTTGATGTAGTGATAACCAAAGAAAGTCTAAATTGATCCCCAGTATTATTTAAGTGTTGTAGTGCAATATTGTCCCTCTGCTCGTTCTGTTCCCTGTAACGTGTTTCTTAGATTTTGTATCATCAATGTTAAAGTCCCACTGAAGTGTCTTGGTAAGCGCAGCTGTGATGCGTTGATGTAATTTCCACTGAACAGCCAATAGCGTTTAGTTTAACTCTCACACTGAGACTCTCATACTTGACCATAGAAGCGAATCCGAGAGCTGACGATACGCTGGACTCAACTGTAAAAAGGTTGCTGTAAAGTTACTGTAAAAATGTTTACAGTATCACTACTGTAATTTCATTTACAATAATACAATTGTATTCTGTATTAATATTTACAGTATGAGTAGAAATAAGTACCATATTTTAATTTACAGGAATAATACTGTTGTATTCATGCGTGAACTACTGTATTTTTATTTACAATTTTAGAATTGATTTCCTACATAATTTGATTTTTTTACGATTTACATTAGAAAATAATTACCGTAGGACACATATTTTCCCATAATCCTTGGCTATAAACAGTATTTTACTGTACAAATTACAAAAATCCGTTACAGTGTAAAGGTGTAAAATAAAGTCTAGCCATTTTATTCTTAACCAATGGAAATAAAACTCAAGCATTTGAGCAACTGCACACAAATCTCAAACCTATATTGCTCCTCGATGAGTGAACAGTCGCTTTGGTCTGGGGGTGTTTATAGCAGAGGGGGCGGGGCCTCAGATTCATTCTAGAGAGCTTTTGATTGGACAGAAGATGTGATGAGAAGCTGGTGATGTCATAAGAATTCCAGATCCATTTTAGCAGAAGTGAGAGACTGTAAGAATTGCTTAAATCTCATTAGTGCCAATTTTGTAATTGTTTTGGAGCAAACCAGTTTATTCATGACTTTAAATTTCACATATTCATACTAAAAGCTAAAAAATTAGCCTACCTTTTTATTGCAAGGGAGCTTTAAATCATACTTATTTATCCTCAGTTTAAGATGACATCAGCATTATTGACGCAATTCAAATTTGTTCAAATATTAAAGAACACGAGTACAAATCAGACAAAGTGGATTTATGTCATGAAAAGCCGGATTTACACCTTCACAACATGAATTACTGTTAATATTTACTTGTATGCTGGTACTGATGCTGAAAATCTGTTTAATTTTTAATTGTTTTAAGAAGTACAGTTATACAGCTTTTATGATATTGTTAAGATTGCAGGTTTGATGTATTAGGGATGAACAAAAGATGATCTTCAATCAGGTCAATACATTATGATTTATGTTAGGAAATGCATATACTTGCAGTCTTTATAAAGGGAAAATAATTGGTCTGACATGGGTTATGATTTTTTTTTTCCCGCATAGATAAAGCGCGTCTCTTTACACCGGCATCACATGACGGCAATTTCTTAAAGGGATACTCCACTTTTTTTGGAAATAGGCTAATTTTACAACTCCCTCAGAGTTGAGTTTGACCGTTAACAGTCTGGATGTCCTAAAGAGCAGATTCAGGGATTTCCAGAGAGACCAAATGTTTTGAAACTCACTCTCATTAGTCTTTAAATTGACCGAATGATCAAGCACTCTTATGAAATATGATAATATTGTCTCATTTAATGGGTTTTCTTACCTTGCTCCAAAATTCAGGAACTCTCTGAGATTAGACATGCCGAATCTTTTAGTATTTTTAAATCCTTGCTTAAAACTCACCTTTTTACACTTACAGTTTGTAGGCTATATTTTGTATGTTTAGTTTATTGTTTTGATATTTTAATTTATCTTGTTTATGTAATTACTTGTTACCCTTGGCCTTCATGATATCCTTTTCTGTGTGAAGTGCCTTGAAGGAACATTTAAATGTGCTGTAAAAAATAAAGTGTATTATTATATCTGACTCATTTTCAAATTGTTTGTCATAAAACAACATCTCAGGAAATATGTGGCTTCTGCGACTTTGTTACGCAAAAGGTCATTGAGTTCATCCGTGATGACTGATGACGAGACATCAGGACTTAAATCATGTTCATTAGCATTCTGGGACACGCAAGTGAACAGGGAAAGAAAATATATATCAATATTCTAACGAAAATTCATTTTTACTCTCATTATTACACTTCTTTCATTACATATTGACCCAAGAACACATTAATACTCAAATTCGATGGAGTGTATAGAGACATTGTGCGGAATGGCACTACATGTATGGCTTTTTTACCCACAATATGCATAAAGTAAATCGTATATACGTTATATATTTCAGAACATAGCTGGGAATCATCTTTATACAAAGTGTGTTAGAGAAAAAAAAGCTTAAACATTTAAAAATGAATAAAATTGGTGAATAAAAAAATAATTTGTCTTTTTATTTTTTTTATTTTTATTACCTCACTGTAAAAAATTTCCTGTAGAATTTACAGGAATTTACTGGCAAAAAAGTTGCCAATAAAATCCTGTAAAAATGTTGGAAATTGCTGTAAAATTGATTACAGTGTAATACTGTAAAGCAATTTACAGTTAATTGTTGTATATGAAATTTATAGGTATACAGTAATTTATAGGGTTTTTACAGTAACATTGAATTAAACCTGTATTTTATTTTACAGCAATATTTTGTAATTTCACTAAAGTACAGTATTTACCTGGCAATAAAGTTGCCAATAAAATCCTGTAAATACCTCCAAAATTCAAGTAGATGCTGTAATAGTTTAACGTTTAAAAAGCTGAAAAGAATCATTTTAACAGTAAACTGTACTCTATTATTTACCATTATATTGATGTAGATGCATTAAAATAAACATTTAAAAAAACAAACACAAAGTCAAAGCTGTTGTAGAAAAATATTTATTAAAATAATCAGCAAATTACTACAAGACTGGTAACAACAATTTTACTTTTTCAAGTACAGAAAATCTTTTCAAAATCAGTCACAAAATAACTACAAATAAGGCTTAACACCAAGATACTGGGTTCAATAAAAGTTAAAGGGATAGTTCATCCAAAAATGAAAATTCTGTCATCATTTACTCACCCTCAAGTTGTTCCAAATCTGTATGAGTTTCTTTCTTTGTTGAACACAAAAGATGATATCTTAAAGAATTTTGGTAACCAGACAATTGAAAGTAAATGGCTACCACCAACTGTTTGATTACCAACATTCTTCAAAATATCTAAGTTCAGCAGAAGAAAGAAAATCATACAGGTTTTTAACAACATGGGTGTGAGGAAATGGTGAATGATTTTCCATTTTTGGGTGATAGTTCACTTTGAAATTAATTTTTGATATGTTTTATCTTACCTCAAGGGGATCCAAGATGTAGGTGTCTTTGTTTCCACAGTAGTTTCAATTTTGACATTTTTTGGTCAAACCGTTCTTGTCTGTCAGTCATACACTGGAGGTGAAGGGGGTCCTCAATTGGTTCACCTCAAAGAGCATGCACAGAGAAGTCCAAATTAAACATGATTTAATGACTCGTAAATGTAAGTACACATTGATGGCCTAAGACACGAAACGAGCGGTTTGTGTGAGAAACGAACAGGATTTATATCGTTTTTACCTCTTGTAATCATAGCCATGACAAAATGATCTGCCGGCACGGGCGCTTCGGTCTGCGCATGCGCTGGAAGTGATCGCTTGCGCGACTACGTCACTCTTTGTTTATACCATAGACAGTAAAAGAAATGGACAGAGCAATCTCATTGAAACTCCATTGAGACGATTGAAGCCCGTTTTTGGCGATTTGTTAGCACTTCCGTCCCTGACGCGCAGACTCAAACAGAGCTTGACGACGTAGATGTGAGGAGAGCAAACCGTCTGTCATCTAGTCCAGTGGCATGTGAAATCTGAATCATTCCCTTCCGATACATGCAGAGGCGGAGAGTATGAATAGGAGCTGTCCATGAGCGAGGAGCAGGAGACACTTTTGCTAGGTATTCTGATTAATTATTTTGTCTTTTTGCCTCCACGTTTCCCCGATTGCGCGCAAGCTTCTCCTCCTGTACATACGGTAATCTCTTTCCTGTGCGACAGAGAGTCGCGTGGGTATGACGCAATCGTTAGCCTACTTTCACTATAACTGCTTCTACGGGGCCATAACATAAGCTACAAGGTAATGGAGCTATTTATACATTGTCGTGTTTCTTTAGAAATAAATAAAGGACAAATGGGGTCTTCAAACGCCTCAGATGTAAAGTTATTCGCTGTCAAAGTGACCCCAAAATGAATGGGAGTCAATGGGAATGCTAACGCAAGTAAAGTTCTGCTACAAGATGTCAGCTCCCGCGAGGCTTCAACTTCCGGTCGATGGATTACCCCCTTGGTTTATACAGAGATTTCAGAAGTTTTACCTTTCACTAAACATATTTAGATATACGGGAAAACACAATGGAAGACGATTTTGGTATATCTAAATATGTTTAGTAAAAGGTAAAACTTCCGAAATCTCCGTGTAAATATTGAGTGATGTCACACGCAAGCGATCACTTCCGACGTAACATTGAACTGATTCAGTTCGGTTCAGTTGGACATTGAACAACTGATTCAGGTCACTTGGACGTCACTGTGACTACACGAGGTAAAAACGATATAAATACTGTTCGTTTTCTCACACAAACCGCTCGTTTCGTGTCTTAGGCCATCAATGTTTACTTGCATTTATGAGTCATTAAATCATGTTTAATTTTGACTTCTCTGTGCATGCTCTTTGGTGGACCCGCTTAGCCTCCAGTGTATGACTGATAGACAACAACGGTTTGACTGAAAAATGTCAAAATTGAAACTACTGTGGAAACAAAGACACCTACATCTTGGATGCCCTTGAGGTAAGATCAAACATATCAACAATTAATTTCAAAGTGAACTATCCCTTTAAGCTCAAACAACATTTTTGTTTCAAAGTACTTTTTTACATTTTGTGTAATTATAGACATCTCAGTTTTTTGTTTTACATATACATTTGACAACTCACATGCTTAACCACTCAAGGTCCACAGGGTAGCCTAATGAGAAGAGTAGACACATGAGGATTGACTGTCTTGTTCCTCTTCTCTGATGTCTTTCCACTTTCATTGATGTTCTTGGTAAACATCTGCTCAAAAATCAGTCAGAAAAATACAAGCAGAAGCTTTAGGATCATGTGCAGACTTATGAAAATATACCACTTTACAATAAGCATTATTTGCACTACTAAAAAGGATTTGTTCACCACAAAATGACACTTCTGTAATTAATTACTCGTTAATCTGTCACTACTGACCTTCATTCATTTTGAGGAACACACATTAAGATGTGTTTGATGAAATCAGAGAGGTATCTGAACCACACATAGACCACAACATCATTACAACGTCCGGGGCCCAGACCCAGAAAGGTAGTAAAAACCTCATTAAAGTAGTCCATGTAACTTCAGTGGATCAACCTCAATGTTATGAAGTGATGAGAATACTTTTTGTTCTAACGTAGAACCTGGAAGCGATGCACTGTTTACTACAGCGTCAGAGATTGACACAGAAGAGAAGAGATTTTGTGGTTGATCCAGTGT